ACACTTAAAACAGCCTTCATATCTGCAAAGAGAGCTGTATGCCCTGCTTAAACAACTGCTCACGCTTATTTATGTGTGATGGTAGTTTTTGCCAGAAATTCTTGAAACCAGAAGGGGTTCTATTCTTCATATGCACTGAGAGGCTTATAAAATGGCTCTCAAAGTTCCTGATTTCTGAGTTCTTATTCTGGAGTTGGCAAGATTTACATTATGCAGGACAACTTCTGTTGCACAAGGAGGGAGGAAAGTACTTAGGGATTTCAGGCACGAACAGCTTTATTTGTGTTACTGGTAACTCCCATTTTCCACTTAACTTGCCTACTAGCCTATGGTGATGCATCTGGCCTGTGTAAACATGAAGATGTCAATGAATGAAGCACTGGTAGCTGCCACCATTAATGCGGCTTATGCTTTGGGAAAATCGGACACGCATGGCTCCATAGAGGCTGGCAAGCAGGGGGATCTTATTATCATAAATTCATCAAGGTTTGTTCTTCCATTGTCATTTGAAATGTGATTGAACATAAGGGGCTTTGGTTTTCATCATGTTTGGACAGTGGAGAGGTTACTGAATTCCTCATGCTTTAGAAGTTATTTTCATCTGAAAAAAGGGACACTGCTAGCGTTTTAGACCTACATTCATGCTCCTTAATCACTCCAGTGGAAAATAAAGCCTAAGGCTTTTGGGGCTAATATTACAAATAATCCTTGCCTAATTACAAATTATCTACAGATAATACCTGTTTATTTTGTGGAAGGAATTCTCTACTGATTTGTACATTAACTCACTGTATTCACGCAACAAGTGATCAACATGTAGACATGGTACAGTGTTTTCCCATGGTCCAAGCAAATCTTTTATAATTGCCAGGTATACTAGGTATGTGACCTGCTTTGATGCCAGTCTGGATATTCTTAAACATCTTGTGGTCTTTTTAGGTGGGAGCACTTGATTTACCAGTTTGGGGGACATGAAGCATTGATCAACTACGTTATAGTGAAAGGAAAAGTCATCTATCAGAATGAGATGTGTGGGACAATGAGCAGTTACTGAGAGAAGACAGTAATTTAGGAAGCTACTATAATCAAATTAGCATGGAGTATTTCAACACAACAGACAAATCAGATTTGTATTTACTGGTAAATTGTTTGCCTGCTCACCTTATGAGCCCTCTTACTCAAATAAACTTTACCAAGCGTTACCCATTTGGTGCATCTTCATGTGTGTTGTCCTTCTCTCCACTACATGAAAATAATTCCTAATTGTATCCATTTCAAGTAAGATAGTTTCCAAAAATGGTTTCCTATACAGTTTTAATCTATAAAATTATTATATTTGAAAATAACCCAGACAAACCACCAATGAATGAATGAAGTTTGGATCCCGGTAAGATTTACTGGGAAGAGTGATGTTAAGTAACCTGTGATGCAGGGCCAAGGGCTCAGGCATGCACATTTGGAATGGCCCTTGGCAGTGCTGGGAGGCCACAGCATCCCGAGGCAATGTTCAGCCTCAAACTCAGCAGATACCAGGAACCACAGTCGTGGTGGGAAGCACAGTATCCTACCTCTCCAAAATACCAAATCTCCTGGTTTCTGTAGCCTTGAAACTCAGTGGGAGCCAGCAGCCAGGAGCCCAGCAAGGTGCTGCTTATCAGCCGATCTGCAACATCTCCCTTTGCTGAGGATCTTGCACCTCCTTCGGGGCTGTAGAGGCACAAGGAGAAGGAGGAGAGGAAAATGCAATCAGGTGCACCACTCAGGGGGCTGCTGAAAGTTGGAGTGCACTGTAAGTTAGAGGTTGAATCAGGCCTACCGTTGGAAATTAGTGATGCCAAAACCTTACGGTTTACTCTTTGAGGCAGTTAGCCCAGTGAGGTCTGGTGAGTACAGCCAACGTCTCAAAATTTCAATTGCCTTGAAATTTAAAAGGAGGTCACATGCAGCGTCATGCAGATGCTCCAAAAAAGACCCGATTTCATTCATTCTAGACTGAATCTGAAATAACACCAGACATATTTGTTCATGGAAGTTTGAATGTGCTTCTGATGACAAGTTGAGTATGAGTATGATAACTCCTACTCAGAACAATGTCAAAACTTAAGATCCTGGGGTTTTTTAAAGCTCTCTTTCTTTTTTCTTTCAGCTACTATTTTTTTCTGGGGCTTGTACCATTATTTGGGGATGTGGTATATAGATAAAAGGATAATACAGCTCTGGAGAGTTCAAGCTGTTGCAATGATTAAGCAGAGGGTCTGGGGTAGGGAGGGTCTCTGAATACACACTGACTGAGGCTTTTCTTCAACTTTCCAAATGGCTGCAGAAACAAAAAGGCTTCACTTTCTGAAGGTGAAGTCATAAAAATACACCTGACAAGCATGAAGAACTTAGCACCAAAAATAATTATTGATATAAGCAGGTGACATGACCTGTGGTACAGAGCAGAGTGCTTTAGTGAACGAGACTCCTGAGGAAGGACAACAGTCTCATTCTGATTAACAGGTATTTGAAAGCTATCAATCACAAACATGTATGAGCTTTATTATGGCCTTCTGATTTCCCTGAGCCTTGGGCACATCTGTTAACATCCAAAATATGTAAGCCATCCCATAGAGTATCTTTGTTCATGCTTTATTTGAGCCAGGCTAACCAATTAAATCAGTTTTTAAAACAATTTAATGGCATTCCCGCCACTAGACGCGTTTTCGTGCAAACAGATGTTGCACCAGATGTAAGCGTGGATATTTGTTTTTATAGCGCTTGGAAGAACATCTGAAGTACGTGATCACACAGTCCATTCTGCCCAAGACAACCTTCATAAATAGCATTTATGCAGACAGTTGGGGAAAGCTGTCAGGGTACAAGCGCAGGCATTTCTGAAACGCAGCGTGCAGCCAGCGTGGCACCTCTTGGCTTTACAGGGGTGCGGTGCAAAGCTGAGGCCACCGTGCTGCAGCGTGAGCTGGTGGTCCCTTGCTCCCAGGCAGCCAAAAGCGGAGGTGAGCGGGAAGCAATGCTTAGCAGCTCCTCTCTGAAGTGCCTAAGGCATTTGTGAGCCCAACATTGCATAAGAAAAACCTCAAATATTCTCATGCTGGACAGGAATAGGCATTCATGGCCTGAAACTACTGATGTGAGGGGATTCTGCTGTCACACACAAGCTCTGACGGGAACCTCAAACCACGTGCTTGCCCGACCAGCTCAGCCAAATCCAGTAGCCATTTGGGAGCATGACCCAGGGCTATAATTAGTGGCAAGTTTGCAGTTAGAGGATGTGGTTATACTTCAGTGGTGCAGCTGGCTTAAGTGGTTCCTGACAGCCAGCTACATGGTCCTGCTGTTGCACAGTTTGCAGTGCTGTTACCGCCACGGCCGTGTAGGGAAGGCAGGAAGATTTTTTGTTAGCTTGTTTTTAACATGGCTCATTTCAGGGATGACGTTCACTGTGCTGGCTCCTGCGGTGGCCGAGAGCAGGACGTAGGTAACAGTGCAGCAGGAACTTCTGCCCGCTTTGCTGCTGAAGGAACCATATTGTTTAGCCATAACACGAGGCTGAAGGCAAATGCTTGGCCCTACAGGATAGAAGCCTGGCTATTCATTCTCACACTCGATTTTAATTAAAAACCTGATTTTACACAAAATGGAACAGCTTCAAGGTGAGATCAAGATACCCCTGCTAGAGAAAGCCTCAAGCTGAAAGAGTAGGGACAGACTTGGTGCATGAGGGAGAGACAGAGGCTGGAGATACTGCAAAAAGGAGCTGAACTAGGAGCTCATCCACCATGGGTGGGTACCCTAGTTGCCAGGTCTTCTGGCCAGGTTGGGTGTCTCCCTGCTAGCTTGCGAACAGGCACAAGTCCTCTCCTCAGGGCACATTTGACATGGCAGGTCTCAGACACTCAAGTGTAGCCCCACACTAGCACACTTTGCCCCTTGCAGCACAGCTAATAGCCCAGGAAGATTTCCAGCCCACGCTGAACACCCCACAGCCGTGGCTGTCAGGCTGGTAGTGCCAAGGCTGGTGGTTGTTAACCAGCCTTAACATGTCAGACTTCACATCATGGTGCAGTGACAAGTCCTGACTCTTCCTTTGCAAAACAAAGCCTGTGCCAGAGGTCAGTGTTGTAACACCGAGCAGGCTGCAACACAAGCCCCTCTGCGGGGACAGGCAGATACCCGATGAGCCATGGAAGTGTAGATCTTGGTGTTACTGCTTCAGCACTGGTTCCTCCTCCTTCTCCCCCTTTCCTGGCCCCTGTTCCACCTGTCCTCCTAATTTGGAAATAAAGCTTTTGCTTTACATTTTCATCATCACACATGACAGGAAAATAGATTGCTACAGCCATACGTGAAGCCTCAGTTTATTTATTGCAGGTGTGAGCCCATAGCTCATGGAAAGCTGCATTAAGTGTAGTCCATCACCAGAATACAATATATTTGTTCTGGAGCAATGATCTCCATAGCACATTTTTATGCACACAGCTTTTCTGATTTGTGAAGCACCTGCTCCAAAGATGCTTTTGTTCTAAAAGAACCTGTACCTCACATATGATCTGCAAAAGAGAGGAGAATTAAGTGTAAAGATAATTTTGCTTGTGGCAGAACGAAGGGGACCACAGCAGTTACCCAAAGGAAAAAAAAAAAAAAAAGTGAGAATGTCAAACCTAGGCTGTTTGGTATCATTGGCACAGATGAAGAGGAAACAAGTGAAGAGCTGACAAAACAAATCCAGGAGGCCCTGTATAAAACATCCAGTGGTTTCAGCAGGAGTCTGAATGTTTTGCATTCAGAAGCTCAGGTAATTGAGTCAAAACCACACCATCATGACATAGCTGTCTTTCACACATGAGGAAATATTTCTCTACTATCTGTATGTGCTCCTGAGCTAGACAGTCAGGTCCTTTGGGTCACCTGGAGAAAGCACATTGAGTTCAAGTAGAACGGCCACCCCCAGGCAAGGTCCTGGAAAGGATCTGCTCTCTGCCAGAGGACTGCAACTCTTAAAGTTCATCCTGATGCCTGTGGTCATGACTAACACCCGTATTCATTTCCAGCGATCCCAGGGAGAAAGCTGTTGGTGAAATGGGTCTCGATTCAGGGATGTGTTCCCTCCTGTACTTTTCAATGTAAGGTTTAGCAACTTCCCACACCTGTGAAACAAGAAAGTGAAACAGCAGGGTCAGAGGCAAAACAAAAGGTCAGTTAAGGCACCAATGCACCAGTTCAGGAAACCCTGTAGAAGAGTTACTGGGATGGAGGTGAGAATCACAGACCTACGTAGATATGCTGTATGCAATCAGCGGAGCCAGAGAGGCAGCCAGAGTAAGGTTTAGGGAAGAGCATGTGGATGGAGTTGACAGGGGACGGGAAAAGATACAGCTCCAGGGGGACAAGGTGAAAGGATTCAAGGAGAAAACATTGCATCTTGTCTTGTTACCAGGTTAATACTCTGTGTGCAATAGTTGGGAGAGGATCGCTGCCACTTGCTACAAAACCACTTGGTCATGAAGGGGAGGGGGAAGCAAAACGGCTTCTGGCACGGTCAAAGAAGAAGGGAAGGGATGGTGGTTGGGGTTTAAGGCAGAAAAGGAAAATGTTCTACAGTCTCCTTTGTCTTTCCTCCTGTCAGAGCTGCAAGGCAAAAAAAAAAAGGAGGGGGGGGATTTTTTCTTCTCCCATTTGCTCACTCTTCTCAGTTCTTCTGTTACTTACGTTTTACAAACAAATAAAATAGATAGATCTCATAGCTGTACAAACGCTTGGCCCAGGTTAGCACATTTCACCACTGCTATTCCCTCATCCACATCCCCTTATTGCTTCCAGACCATGCCCAAGGGCCTCAAGGCCGGGGAACGCTCACCAACCCAGGAATGAGGATCACCATCTGGAGAGGCTGCCGATTTCTCTGGACATCTATGGGGTTATAGGACCCTGCCCTCAAATGATTCAAAGCTGGACCTGTGTCTGGACCCTGCCAGATTTAATAACGTAAGCTACTTAGTGCACAGGGCAAGTTTAAGAACTGATTTCTAAATCCATCCCGCTAAAACTAAGGAAAACCAAATCTCAGAAAATCTGGTGAGTTCGCCCCAGGCAGAGGAGTGCTTTCAGCGAGGCCATCCGGTGAACGCGTGGAGGGCTATTTCCAAAGCAGAGCTGCAGCGTGCTCCTCAGGACGGTCCTACTGCCCGTGCCGAAAAGTCAACGCTCACCTTCTGCTCCACGAGCAGCCTGTGAGCTGCTTCAATGTCTGGGGCCATGAAGCGATCCTTCATCCAAGGCCTGTAGTGAAACACGTTGCGAACATTGGCCAAACATTAACCACCACCGCCAGCCTCCAGACGGGTAACCTCTGGGGGAGGCATTTATCTGATGTTACCTCACAACGGAGCGCACAAGGTCGTAGACCTTCTCCAATGGCGTTGTCGTTCTCAGAGGGCGTAGGAATTCAATGCCTTGGCAGGCTGCAAGCAGCTCAATAGCCAGAACTAGGAAATCAGAACAGCAAAAGGGATTTTCAGCAGGTACAGCTCCAGGCGAGGTTTCCCATATAAAGCCATACCCGGCCTTTGTTCTGGCTTATACGATATTGTTTCAGGCAATGTGAAAAGACCAGTGGATTCGCACACCCCAGAGAGGCAGCCCAGCAGCAGGGTTGATCGTTTTATGGATGGTACTGGGGCTAGTATCCAGCATTTTAGCAAGCAGATTTTGGGTGCTCTGCCATACAGACCTTCCAGTGTGCCAGGAACTCCTGGTCACCACAGTCTTAAATCCATAGGAATCCCTTCCAGGGTATCTGGAATACTCAAATTAATGGCCCTCATAAATCAGAAAACCTCTTTAGGACTGAGAAGAAAGGGGCCTGAACTATAAAAGACAGTTCTGCCTATGAAGGATGCAAGAGCCCATGTGAAAGCACCAGTAAAATTAGAGAGCTCTGGAGGAGAATATTCTGTCTGGGGAAGTCTGCACTGTATCTGCCCACCTCACACCTGATCATTATTGGCATTAGTTCCTCATTTTCACGAGCCAATTCACCCAAGGAACTGAGTGAAACAACTGGGTCTAGGACACGCTGTTTCTCAGCACGCTGTTGAAACACATGGTTTCTCAAACTTAGTTCTATAGAAATACATTTTTTTATGTGCAGAGAAATAAGTCTTCAGAGCACTCATATGTATAGACTTAAGTGGGCAAGGGAGTTCAGTATTTGTGTGCTGTGTATTGCTCTGCTCTCCCGCTAACAGCTGACATCTGTATCTAAGCACACCATCTGCCAAATAAATAAATAAATAAAAAGCAAGAGAGCAATCTGTCCTCGTAAGCAAGAGAGGAAAGTTTTGCTGACTGTCCTGAGTAGCTTTTCACAAGAAACACTTAGTGCTAGATTTACCTCATTTCTGTTAGAAAGATCCAAATGCTTGTAAAAGTATGCATTTAATATATTATTTTTTAGATAGTTCTTTCAGATGCATTAGCTCCTTTTTTCTTAAAATAGATCTAAAAAGAATGGCACTAATGTCTTCACCTAGTTGCATACATAAGGTCTGCTGGAAATCAGCATTTTAATTTTACCTTGTTCCACATGTTCAATAACTCTCAAAGCTTTTCTTGCAGCCCATCCTCCCATGGACACGTGATCCTCCGTAGCAGCACTGGTTGAGAGAGAATCCACAGAAGAGGGGTGGCACAAGGCTTTGTTCTCAGAAACTGCAAAAATCCAGCGCAATGAATATAGGACAGAATGGGCACGAGACAGCAGAAGTAATGGCTAACCTGGAGCAAAGAGCCCGTCCACCACCTCAGGTCCAACTATTGCTCCTCTTTTGAGAACGCTTCAATGTTTTACCTGGACTGAGGAATTTGTAATAAACACCTTGAAAACTACCATTGCCTCTGAAAACAGTAACAAATATCAGTCTTTAGATGCAAATATTAACCAAATATAGAAAGACTGCTCACTCCTCCCTCGTCTCTGGGGTTGAATTGCTCTGGCTCAAAGGCCCAATGGAAACTGAAGAAAAAGAGAACATAACTGAAATACAAGCCTGATCTTGCCTGTTACTTCAAGACAACTCTTTGTAAAAAGCATTGGTTCTCTCTGTTTTCAGTCACAGATACCGCCCCTACCCTGGTTTCAAGAAGAGAGCTAGAGATCAGCATCTTGTTTCTTCTCATTGGAGCTGAGGCACTTGCAGAACTTGCTCCATGATGCTGCGGGAGCATGGCACAATCCCTCTCCCACCCTCCTTGCCTCGCTACAAGGCTGCCCATGTCCCTGCTCTGGGCACACACACCCCTGAAGGTGGGAGCACTCTGGCTTTGAAAGCTGGGTGCGAGGCCTGGAGTAAGTCTCTCAAGCTGCACCCAAAAGCGAGGGGAATTTGGCTGCCAGAAGGGTTGTAGGCACCATCTGATGACAATTTGAGGTTGCGAATTGCTCTTTAGAAGAGAAGAAACCAAGCCTGCATTCACAGTGCTCTGGCTGCACACAGACCTTCTCTTTCTAAAGCCCCGCAGGACGCTGCATAACGTCCTCACCAAATTAGGGGCTTCAGAAAAGCAACAAGAGCAACAGAGAGGTGGTGACACCAATTGCAAATAGGCTGGAGTGACACAGTCCAGGGCCAGAGCCCAGCTGGCACATTCAGGCAAGCAACAGCAGGTCCCAGAGAGGCTGCGTGTGGCTACTGCAAACAGTTGGGTCTGGCAGGCACAGTGCTACCAGAGAGGAAGGCAGAGACACATCCAGGGGCATTGCAAAACATCTGCAAATTTTTTGCAGCTTTATCTATTAACCCTAGGAGTGAACAACATTAGCTGGTACACAAACACCTTCAAAACTGGCAGAGCAACTTTAAAAACATTAGTAATATCTTGCTTAAAAACAACAACAAAAAAGAGAGCTCAAACTTCTCTTTTAGATAAATTCCTGGCTACTGTGACCAGGGGAAGATGGTTTTAACCCATGGATTCCTGCTGTCAGTGCAGCAATGAGTTAGGAGGCAGGGCTGTCATTTTCATTCCCTGCAGCAGAGACCATGAACACCCCAGAATCTCTCGCTCCAGATTGCGGAACTGAGCTGCGAAACCTGAAGCCAAGCAACAGCTAAGGCCTGGAGGCATCCTAAACTCTGCCCAGCCAAAATGAAAAGTTTCCAGCCTTCGAACATGAGGACAAACACTTCAGCTCCTTTTCCAGCCCCAATTTCCAAAATGGCCTCTAGGCAAGGTTCCTTTATTACAACAATTTAGTTCATTGACTTTTTTTTTCTGCAGGATGTTTATCTACGCATTTACCCGACATCTTCTGTTCCTGTGTCTGTTTGCATCTCTTGTAATTTACTGTCTACTCATAGCATGTTTATCTTTATATTGGCTCATGCTTTCCTGAACCTATGAACTGTAATATCCCAGGGGCCAGCAGGCTTCTTGTTGCCTTAGTCATGAGTACTAGAGGAAAAATGTATAATGCTTATTTTCAGTGTGCTCCTCCAATAACCAGCCCCAGGAACACCAGTTTCCTGAGGACTGTGGAGTCTGATATTGATGTACAGACCTAGCCATCAAATGGAGACACCGAGTACTAAGGGTATCAGGCTCAGCTTTGAGACAAGTGGTGTCCCTGTGCTAGTGAGAAGTAAGGAATAGAGGTATCCCTTGCTTACAGATCATAACTATTCAAGCAGAGGTTCTAGGTTCAGCAGAGTGGCTCAGACAGATGTATGTTTGTTGCCTGCAGTGTTTGCTGTTAATTACAGCCCTGTCTGAGCTGATTTACAGGCTCCCAGGTACAGAGCTGTCACTGATTTCAACCAGAGCTCTTGTGTTGGTGACTCTAAATCAGAGCGCTCCCTGCCAATCCCATAAAGATGCAAACAGGCAAGCATTCCCACCAAAGTCCACCTGAGGGTTTGCATGCTCAGAATGCTAAACATGCCCATGGATCAGTGCAGAATAAAGAATGCCAAGCTGAAATAACTGCAGCTGTGCTCAACACTCAAACTTTGCACCCAGACAGCACAAAGCACATGGAGAAGAGATGGAAAACAAGAGTGAGATCCCTTTGTATCTACTACCAAATTACAACTGCCTTGATATAAATTGGTCTTTCTAGCTTGCTCTTTTGATGATATTGCTCAAGCACTCACCCAGGGCAGCTGCTGTACAGTGTGCAATCATGAAGCCAGAGTTCAGACCTCCTTCCGTGACTAAAAATGCAGGCAGTTCGCTGAGCGAGGGGTTGCAGAGCCTCTCAATTCTTCTTTCACTTATTGCAGCGAGTTCGTGCACCCCAATTGCCAAATAGTCTAGAGCCTAAAAAAGAAGATCTCATTAAACCAGATGACAGAAAGAAACAAAACAGAAACTACAAGGGTTTTTTTCTTTCTCCAAATGCTTAATTACCTTTGCAGGATATTCACCATGAAAATTTCCTCCAGAAATGGTCTCTGCTCTTTCAGCAAACACCATCTTTAAGGAGAAGTTAGGGAGCAAACATGAGTGAAATACGTGTCAGATATCTGTTAGTAATCAGAATATCTTAACTGAAGGAATGTTTGCGCTAATAGGCTTTTATTTGGAAGCACATTATATTACATCCGCATGTTCACTTTTCAGAAAATGAAGACCCAATCTCAGTTCTCTCATTTTTTCAAATAGGCTATATAAAATGAGGTCTTTGATCAGGGGCAGGGAGGGGTGCAAAGAAACACATGTGTTCGGATCCTAGCATAGTTTCTCGGTTCCTTGGTAGATTCTCTCCACGGCAGAAACAATTTTAGACAGGTTACAAGCTGTAACTCTTTATCAGCTATGGATGCGATGTCATGTATAGCATCATTACACTGCTGAGGGGAATCCAGGCTTGCTCAGCACCAGTGCAGGAACTGTGCCCAGAGTTTACCAGGCTGAGCCATGAGGAGGTTTACCGGCCACACGTATTTTGGCTGCCTTCCCTGACTGAGTGCAAATCTTGCTCTATAGTGCAGGTTTCACTCATGCTGCACCAACAGATGTGTCATACAAGTCACCATCCGTCTATGTCCATTTGGTTGCCAGGTCCCATCTATCCACATATTCAATATAAGTATAGAGATTCTCATCTAGGAAACATTTAACATGCACTAAACTGCATACACACGTGGTTTCCTTGCCCCAACACACACTTGCATGCACCAGCGCCGACACGGAGAAAGGAAGAGAGGTTGCTGTTGCAACCAATGGTAGTTATTGACTGAAGCCAGTTATGACTTTTTTGCCTCCTACGCAAATAACTGTATAGAAGAAAAGGATAAAAAAGGCCAAGCAACATTTTACATAGAAATAAAGTCATCAAAAAGATACAGGGTTGTCCGTGGCACTATTGATTTCAGTTGTCATGATGTCCTTCACAAAAGCAATTGTATCATTTACAACTCCGTGGACCTAGAACAAAAGACATTAGCACCTGAGCTTAGTATCTACACTTAGTTCATCTTCAGGTTGCTAACCAAGCTGCAGGCACCCTCTTTCCCATCATCCCAGTCTCTACATCCACACATGAAGATGGTCTTGTATTTGCTCTTAAAATCAGGAGCATCACTATGGGACACTACCCATCCTAGACCCCTGAAAGACTCTATTTACTATTATTTTGACAGTATTGCTAAAAGGGTAATCCAAATACGTTATTCTTTACTTGTTTGGATTGGTTTACCCTAAATGGAAGATAAGATACTTTTTCAGAGGCGAAAGTGTTATTAGGAAAGACGTAACCTTACAAAGCCCCTATAGAAAACAAAAACTCTCATTAATTAACTTTCATTAATTCCACTGATTTAATAGCTTTGCTCATGTTAAAACTGACAGGGTTGAGTTCTTCCAGTATGTTAGAGATACTATAGGTTGAGGAACAACCTATCACTCTGGCTGCTTCCCGAAACACCTTTCCCCAGTTCATGGTCTTAGCATCAATGCAGAATAAATGCCCTAAAAAGCCTGCAAGAGTAGAAACCAGCACCTTCCCCTGCTTCTGACACTCGGCCGCTTTCAGATCTAAACACAGCTTTGCTAGACGCTGCCTGATGGGTGCGTGCATAGGATTAATTCATACTAACTTTGAAGTGAGGGAGAAGCAAAATAAAACCACTTCCTCTAATGGAGTCAGACAATTCACAGTTGACAATATTTCTGGTGGGGGAACTTCACCATCATTTATCTAGTGCTATGAAAGGAAATAAAAGTCAGTTTTTACCTGAGGGCAACAGCGCATCGTGTATGCATCCTGAACTCGGTCACAGAATCTATGGCTCTCTACAAGGGAGAAGGGAGGAAAAACCCAAATATTCATCACACAAAAGCATATGGGCTACTGCCGAAAGATCCAGCTAGACCTGTGTAACCTGAAAGGGTGAAGGTTAAGATTGTTCACCTGCTATTTCTGATGGATGATGGTCAGAATCTAGAAGGGACCTGAATCGAAATGCTACTTCAGCCTGCCCTCGATGTGGGCGAACTGCGTGGATATCTAGTAAAACAAGTTAGACTGTTAGGTTTTGTTTCTCTTGTCAACGGCTGTTAAGCAAACAGACAGGAAAGGCCCAGTACCCACCAGTGTCAAAGGCCCTTGTGGTACCCTTCAAGACTTCAAGTGTAAGGGCAGCTATTATGTCAGCTTGTCTAGCAATAGCACCAGCTCTTTCAACTGCTTCGCATCCCAGCGAGGTGATCATTTGTGTCCCATTGATGAGAGCCAGACCCTTCAAAGAGAGCAGATGTTAAGCAAATTCATTGCAGCTATTCCACAGACTGTGGTAATTCCCCATCTCTGTGATAATTCTCCTTCTCATATGAGTGAGTTAAAAGACCTTTGCTCAGCTTCCTGGATCATCTTGAAATCACAAAATGCACAGCTGGACTGGGCATCTTTGCTACATAAATTGTCAATGGTCATGACCCTACTAAGTCAGCTCCAGTAGTTCCAAGCAAGAGGTTTATTTCATGTTATTTCAAGCTTAAGCAAGAAAAGTACAGGAAATCTGTATTCTTTTCCAGTTCTTGGGAAATGGAATGCTATTTTTATTCATTTATTAAGTTATTAGTTAACCAAAGAAGTTATGAGCATGAGGGGGTGTGAAAACCAATCATAATAAAGAAGTGGAGAATTAAAACAGCATTAGAAGTTATAACTGCTTTAAAAGATTTGTTGAGTTCAGTTAGAACTAGCTTCAAGTTTGTTCTAAATAAACATGAGACCCATGGGAGCCTTCCATTTGCCTTTAGGAGACACTGGATTTGGCTTCTTGCTCCTGGTGCTGTTTTGCAGCTACTGAGGCCCCTTACCAGAGAGCTCCACAGCCCTCCAATCTCTTGTGTTCCCACATAAAATTTAATACTTGGAGTGAGATTCATCTCACCTAGTTTTAATGATCTCGGAGTCGGATAGCTGGCTCAAGTCAGTCATCTGAGCTCCTGTTATGGTCAAAGGGCAGATAGGTACCTTGAGAGGGCTTCTTAGACAGCTGCTTCAGGATGATGTAGTGTGTTTTCTGAAGATGCCCATCTCTTTCCACCGACCACAGGGCCAATCTACACATCAAGCTTGGGTCTGACATCTCAAGTCAAGCAGGGTGACACTAGGAGAGGTGGATCCCACTCCTGATAATACTTCATTAATATCATTCTGAAGCTTGGTTTAAAATGACTGTTAATTCATTTCAGGCTGAAATTATTAAGTATAAAGCAACTAGTGATTGACTATGATTGTTTTTCATCAGCTGGCATCATTATACTTTATTACCTCTTTTGGTTTCAAGGTAATTGGTCTCAGACCATGGGCTTCCAGGACCTGTGAAGGAGTTTAATGACAAGGTAATTAATGAAAAAAGTTTTTTAGTAATTCAGCCACCAAAACTTTTAAATAATGAATGTTTCCACAAATAAAAATATTAACAAATTCCTTAAGTGAAGGGAGAAAAAAAAAAAAGCTTTATATCACAAACATTTAAAATATTTTTTTCTGCTGGGCTAAATAAAAGACAGCATTTTGGGGCTTCCAAGCTAGCACCTCATTTCCCAGTGCCAGTAAAAGAAGGTAACAGGAACGCTGAAGTGACATACTCTCACAGCCCATTAACATCTACCATATATTAGCTGATGGGAGAGAGTAATAGGAGAGAAGGCTGGAAACATCTTGGGAATGTAGTTCGGCCTATGCTCTGCCTCATAGCAGGTTTGGCTTGCATAAACTATTCCTTCTTCATAAAATGATTCCCTAACCCTTTCTACAGAAAATCTCCAATGACAGGAAGAGTCCTAATCAGTTTATTCTATACACATCTATTCCACAGGGCAATCGCTCTGGTGGGAAATGGGGGAAAGGTGTAACTTTGATTCTGATTAGAGTCCTCTCAACATTTCCAACTGAAGAGGTAACACATCTCAGAGTGTACAACGGTAACTTCTGGTCCCGAAGGTCCACCAAACCCTGGCCTGCTTCTTCCCTACTCCTCTCCCTGTGTAGTTCTCAGTATTTCTCCAGCCTACAGTGATGGCACAGCTATCAATCCATGAATAAATTTGGTGTTCAAATATTCATGGACAGAAGTGATAGGTGTAGCAGAACAAACTAGCATGAAAGACTCCAGAGGCGCCAGACTTGGAGATATTCAACACTAGATCAATCTGCTGATGTGTTAATTAAAAATTAATTCCATTGTAAAGCTTCCATCTTGTAAAGGAAGATGCTATAAAGGTTCCCAGTAACCCTAGTTAATCTATCAAAAATGAAATGTCTAAACCTGTGTATTCACTTAAAGCCATTATAAAATCAGTAGAAATTTTACTGATAAGTTTCTGCCTCCAGTAAATCTCCAGTCACTCTCAGCGTCTGAAGTTTTGAATTTGAGAGGTAATCTTGGGTTTGTTGGAACAGTGTTGATGTTTATGGAGCTGAAGATGTAGAAACAGTTCTTTCAAAGCTGATATCACATCCTGTCCCTCTCTCCAGGTCCTAACTGATGTCACTGCAGTGTCTTGTATTGCTATACTATGGCATGGTATTTCTTTAAGGACTTAATAACATGCTATATATTCTATCTGCTCCAGTGACAGGTGAGTCAGCTATTCCATTCTCATGGACCCACCTTCCTCAAGGTAGAGGCAACCTAGTCCCAGTTCAAACTGGTACAAAAAATCCAAAGGTTTTTACCTGTTCCTAATCTGAGCAAAAGCTCTCTCTCTCTCAAAGTAACAAGCAATTTGGCAAATGAGCCAGCAAGCAGGAAAAAAGCAATCAGCTGCACGAGTCTTACATATTTAGCATCGGCCCAGCCACTCTTTGGGGACCACATCTTTCCCTCTCCAATTAATCCCAGAGCAAGATGAGAGAGGGGGGCCAAGTCTCCACTGGCTCCAACTGTCCCTTTCTCAGGGATATAAGGAAGGCAAGATGCTAGAAAGAAAACAAAAACAACTCCTGTTAGAGCTTCCCCTCGATACACTCCTTGGAAAACAGAGAAGCCAGCACATCAGTGTGGTCACGGTGTGGTAACATCTTGCAATCATGGTCAATGGCACCAACAGGACTACTCTCATCGCAGACTGGGATTTGCCCCTGCTCGAAGGCTAGCTGCAGTTTGTAAAGAAATCAACTCTCTTCTGCATTTGGTTCTGCATTTGGTTTTGGAGTGGGGAGACCACAGCCCAGAGTGATTGCATCTGCAGCCAGGCAGGTAAAACATCATTTCTCAATTCTTCATCACAGGGTGACCACCTGGTGCGGACAAAGCCACCTCTTCATTCCTCACTCCACTAAACATCGGGTAACTCCTACAAGCCATCTTTGAGCCCTCTTCCCCCTACCCCAGCCCTCCGAACACTGAACATGTAGAAATGAAGAAACGGAGCCCACGGAAATGTGGAAAAAGCAGGGAAGGGAACAGTCTGTTTCTTTTCTTTTGCAGAGTTAAACACTGAATTGCAGCTCCTTCAACCACTGTGGGAGGAGGAGGAGGAGGGAGCAACAGAGAGCAACACTGCACAGAGAAAAAAACAAACACAAAACTAGGTGCTGCTCAAAGGGGTCTGTTTGACAAACACCAACACGTACAGTTTTCTACGTGGTAACAGCCCCACCCAAAAATCCTGGCGTTCCAAAAAATGGTGGCACATGCGACAGGACAAAAGTTAGAGACTTGAGCCTTTGTAGCAGAGCTCGCCCAGAGTCAGAGTCATGCTCTCAGTCAAGCTTAGTCTTGAATTACTTGACCTCTTAGAGGTTCATTTCCCAAACTTCTGCCTGTTGCATCCCTTTCTCTCAGCCTTTTGTGTCACTTCGGCTCACATCCCATGTTCTTCAACAGAGGAACGGTCTCTAGCCATGACCTTCTACAGGACTGGTCACAGCCAAGCTTTGGTTCTGGTCTCTAACAACTACCAAGTCAAAAGACCAACATCCATAGCTTGATCCATTGAGCTACACCCTTTAATGAAAGAGTTAAAAGAAGAAAAAAAAGGGGGAAAGGGGGATTTTCTTGAAATATCTTTTTACCATTAAATGCTTCAATAACTTGCTGGAGCGTTTCTAGGGATATTCCACTGTATCCTTTTGCTAGGACATTGATCCTCAGTGCCAACAGCATGCGAGATCTCTCTGGGCTCAAAGGTTTCCCCACACCTGAAACAGTAACTCTCTTGGTTACTAACCCACTACTAGCAGTGGCAGAAAAGGGAAAAACACCAAGCGATTTTTTATTACCTGCAGAATGCGAACGAACCAAGTTCACTTGAAGCTCCCTGTGGAAAAAAAAAAATGTAAAAACCCAAGTAAAGTCTTGTCAGGTTTTATTTTGCACAAAGCAAAGGGAAATACTGAAGCAGCCCTCTCACCTAACCACAGAGTATACACGTACAGGGTGAAACTGCTCCCTCATCTCCCTTTCCTGAAAAGAAAGGACGGAGAAAGCTGCACACACCACTTACCTCAGCTTATTGTTTGGGATGACAGTCCTCGCAAACTTCCCAAACCCCGTGGTGATTCCATAAACAACTGCAAGAAACGTACACTGCTGGTTAAGGAGGGAACCTGATGAAGTTTTCTAAACACTTAATAATTAGAGGCAAAAATATTTACCTGTCTGTTCCTTTACAATCCTTTCAATCACTTCTCGTGATTGTTTGACTCTAGCTTCAGCTTCAGGTGTGAGCTAAAACAGTTTAAATATAAGTTTATCTATCATTATTTAAGTTTAATTGTAGAAAGATAAACAAGTAATTTTTAGCTGCATTTGTTCAGGATCTTTACCTTTATCTTGTAGAGCCCCTTTCCTAAATTGACCAAGTCCTCTGTTGTTAAGCTGTTGCCATCTAAAGAAATATACTACACCAAAGAAGCACCTTTTAGTTTCGGATACATATAAAGTTGCTTAATAATCAGAATAAAAGAAAAAAATAGAGTTCAAACTCAGCAATGACAGGAAGCTCACTCACACTCATTTGCAAGATAGGAACTCATTAACAAAAACATAATAAACGCATTATAATTTAGATTCCTAGACCCAGCCAATCTAACAGCTCTTGCTCTCGTGAATGCTGCAGTGGCTGAACTCTCAGCACCCGCTGGGGAATAGCAGGATTTGTTACCAAGTTGCAAAATCATTGGCGATTCATACCTGTTCTGGTTCTCGGTATTTGCTGTATCTGAAAGTTCTGTAAAGGAAAATGAAGGGCAGACAGGATTTCACAGGCAGTGACCATTCGATTACAGCTGGCAATGTGTTTTAAGAATGAAGGAACACTAAAAATCCAGGGAAGTCTAGGGAATTATAAATCTAGAATTATAAAAAAAGTTCACATAATGCTCAAAAAAGGATACAAATGAACTCCTTCTGGCTGAGATGGTATGAAATCTGGAGACATTATATCTCCTTCTATAACTAGAAGAAACATGCAAATAAACATGAACAGGATTAACTGGTATTCTTCTTGTAAATGAACTTGTTATTCATTGCAATACACACCAGTAAGAATTCCAATTTGCAGTTATCAGCCCCAAATATATTTGTATGCTTCTAGGAAAATAACAAGGGACTATGTAGTTTATTTAAGGTACTCTAAAGGCAAAAGAGCTGCCCAACCTTCGGACATATGCTCCATATCCCATACAATCACATAGCATATAAGATATCATATACAAATGATGTATATAGAATCCTGTAGCTTCTATACCTATAGTTCTATACTTAAAAACATGGTACATTTTGATATTTTTCCATAAAAATTGTAGAGGCTCTCTCAGGCGCAATTTTAGATAAACTAAAGGACAGTTTGCTGACTCAGATGCCAACGTGGTCACTCTGTGATGCGTTGCTTAAGGTTTTGCTTACCAACTTCAACGAATTCATTGTCCTCTAGAGCATCCTCCACTGTATCATCAAGATCCAGCAAGCCAAGTCCCTTGCACCTTCGAATGTAAAATTTTACTTCTTCCACTGAGGCAAATCCCCCGTTGTCAGGTTTGTTCTTCATGTACCGTCTCACAGCTTCCTTTCCTAGCCACCCAATTGTGTTTGTGGAGTTTAGGCACGGCACTGCCAGCCATTCTCCTCGGACATGCACCGTGTATCTCGGCATGCTTTCTCTCCAAAGTTGTCCTTTGACCGAGAAGGGCTGCAGCGTGCAGCAGCCTTACATTTACCGCACAACAGCCTGTAAAGCAGTGGAGTCCAGTGTTGCAATCAGATAGAGGCAAAAAGCCACCCCCAAAATCCCCATCTTTGTAAATAAGCGAGATCAATATATCCAGCTGCCCTCAGCCAATCAAACCAAACCGAGGGAGCACACCCTTTTTATGGAAAGGCAAACCACCCCCCCCATTACCACAGAAATTTTTTTCTGAAGATCACGTCAGGAATATAGAAATTAAAATCTAGGAGCTAGATTATGTAGCAAGAATAGATAAATCAATCAGAATAAGCTGGAATGCAACTGTTCTAAAAACTTCAGGTTTTAACAAAAGTTAACGGAGTTGTCACCTGGCAGTAGATGACACTAATGAAAACCTCCGTGAGGGAGAGGGCTGGAAGACAGTCACCCCAGTACGGGTGGGTCACGGCTGCTAGGATTGCAGGGAGACTGGATTATACCCATACATCTCCATCTAGAGCAGGATGAGAGCAGACGGTGTAGGAAGCAAGCCTGCTTTGCTCCGTCCAAGCTGAAGTTAGCAAATGTAGTTTCGTATCCCAGGGGAGGAGAAGATTAATGAGTTTCCCTCTGTTACCCACTCATTTATGCTCTGAAGATGTTGCTAGAACACGTAGCACAAATATTGGGCCATACCTGCCGCTACCAGGACTGGTGCTGCTATACCACGCCTCTTTTGCAGGCAGATGCATGGCAGAATAGACGTGGAGAAATACCTCTTAAGACGGCCAAAATAGCATTTAGCAATTACCATGTCCACACAGAAACTGAAAATACCTTTGTTTTTAGAGACAAAACAACACTCATAGCCCATGCTACCCACAATAGTGTTCTCCGACAAAGGGACTACTATAAAGTGCACTTACCTAGGGTGAATTATTGTAGGGAATTTTAACCTGAGACCCATTGGCAGGAGTCTCTATGTGGGAGACATTGCCCCAGCAGAGCAGGACAACGCTAGCAAAAGCCACACCAGCCAGTATTTTTTCTTCCTAGCTCTGACAGCAAGAAACCAGGATTAGCTGGCAGCATGAATTCCAGCTGCTGAATCACTATATATGATATGTTGGCTTTTATGACAAATGTTACCCCAAAACTAGTAGCATAAAACATTTCTAACACAAAGAACGGGAGTTTGCATTGTGATCCGACAGCTTGACCCAGAGCCTGTGAACACCAGATACCCCCTACCAGAGCCTTGCCCGAGAGAATCCCCGTTCATTCGGGTAATGCTGTAGCAGAAGCCTAATTAGATTCTGGGAGTGAATGAAAGGAACTGGGTAAATTTCTAATCTGAAATCTAGAAAAATTCTTTTCAGTGAGTTCTCTAGCAGAAGTTCTCACTTGTTCAGAGGAGTAGCAAGAAGAGAACGAATGGCTCATTAGGTCCTTACCACAAGAAAGCCTGTAAGTTCTTCACACACAAGGAAGTTAACACTACTTTGGTTGCAAAAATGCCAGTATGTTATTGTGTTTATTAAAAGCTGAGTGGCACAACGTTCATAGAAAATTTAAACTGATTTTTGAGCCTCGGTCATCTAGAAGTAAATTTTTATATCACTTTTATTTAAACTGCTTAGACATACATAGGTTGAAGTTGAATGGAAGAACTCAGGATGCCTTGAACCAAGAAAACCTAACAAGGTATGCTCAGCCTTAATTTATATTAGAGCTGCCAGCATGAAAAGATGAATCTCCTGGTAAAGTATGTAACTTCATGTGCTTGAAAGCTTATACCGATCAAAACTTAGAACAGAAATAAATCAACTGATAGGCTCGCCACTCCCATCCTAAGTGCCATTATTAAACCCAAGCCTTTTGCCACGACCTATAATTTGGTATTTCCTCCTCTAAAACAGCACTTTTTTTTTTTGTTACTCCTTGATACAGGGCTGCCTCTATGTCAACAGATTTAATTTATGCTAACCAATCATCTCCAGGAAAAGCAGTTCTTCCCAAATTCACTTCAAAAAACAAACTATAGATGGCAGTATTCACAACAGTGTCACCTAAACCAGCGACTTGAAGTGCTGTAACAATTATACGAAAACCAGCCCTCCGATTGTTTTTAAACTTATCTCTAAGCTGTTATATTAGCATAAGGGGTAGTGACCAGAACTGGTTAAAAAAACGAAAATATTAAAAAACTCAAAACGGGGAAGGAAAGACTTGGGCTTTAGTCCCCGTTGCAATTGTTAGAAGTTTTGAAAATATATAGTGGGTTGAAATAATTTAAATAAGTTACTAAAAGCATAGTAAGGTATTAAATCCGAAGTCTGGTAAAAATCCCAGGTTTGCTAAAAAAAAAAAAAGAGAACAAGGAGGTATTTCAGAAAACTATTAGTGCACAGCACAGGATCCAACAGGAATAAGTAAAACCATCATATTCTGATTAACATGATGAATTGATTAACGTAACAAAGCCATGACAAACAGGGCTAGATGGAAATTCTGCTCTAAAACTCGAATGCTGTGATCCATTTAGGTCTTCAAAGTCCTGTCAGACCCAGAATAAAAATTTCTTCCACAACAAAGAAGAGTAAAGAAAACAAAACTATTATTTTGAAACTTTTCGTACAGATCAATACACAGACAAGCAGACAATGAAAAGATTTATTTTTTAGTCTTCAGATACTTGAAGTTTCAATCACATTGCTATGAAAAAAAAAGCTGTGCACAAAGAGCCATACCATCCACCAATAATTTTCCATGTTTTTAAATTCCATGACTGACAAACGACTACATCTCAGAACAGCTTTTCTGGGCGTTCTAAATATTGCTTGTAACAAAACCATTCTCCCAATTCCAGAGATTTCGCAATTTTGCTGTTTTACTTGGAAATGAAAAATAGAAAGTAGTGAACTTGATTTGGAAAGTTCATTTTAAGCTAAATTAGTACCAAAGCAGCAAAGCATTTTATGGCATAATCAAGCACACATATCAACAGTTTGTGGAATCAGTCTCTTCTTTCAGCAACAAGAAAATTTCAAAGGTATCAGTAAATTTGTCACTGATCCTGTTTCAAGTCTTTGCCCACAAGCATTGAAGTGACTGGGTGCATAGAGGCTCTATGCTCCAGAAATGTCTTGACAGCCAGATCTCGACACTTGTCAAAACCATAAAGATCCCTGTAAAAGGAGGGGGGGGGGGGGGGAGAAAAAAAACACCATTACAAAAGTGTATGAAAACAGTACAATGGGGATTTTTCTCAAGGTTTTTACTTTTCCCTTGAAAGCCTCACATTAAGGTGCATACTGGGAGCCTAGGCTTTCTTCTATTAAAAAAAAGTCAGCAAGTGGAAAGTAATTTTGAAGATAAGCTTGTTCACAGCACACAGAAAATTCTGTATTATATCACTTCGAAGCATAACATAAATATATGTACCATGTCAAGTATTATACATGCCATTATACTAAAAATGCCAACAGCATAAGCTCCTACAATTTGGAGATTACTTTTACCTGAACAAGGGCCGAGTAAACTTCAACCTGCCCTGATCTGTTGCCATTTTTAGAGCCAGAGGAATAGCTTCTTCCCATTGGGACTTGATGCAGAGGCGCAGCCACCTGGGCGGGGGGGGGGGGGAAAAAAAAGAAAAATTACACTTACTTTCATTTGCAGTAGTTAGTTATCTTATGATTCTGTTCCATTCCCATGTGTCACCATGGGAATGAGATTCTAGCTAAGTTCAACCTAAAATATTTAGTCTCTGACTAGCACTTCACAAAAGTGAGCTTTTCTATAAAATAAGAAAAAATTACTTCAAAGTTTCTCCAAAATGGTTTGATTATTTTCTGCAGCTATGTGTTTCTTTTATGTTACAGCAGTGTCCAGTTGCATCACTCATCATTAGAACTGAATTATATAGCACTTGTCATTTGACTAAGTGATTAAAAAAACCCAACAAAATTCCAAACAAAACATCACCAGCAACTGGCATATGCTTGTTTTGTTTTAAAAATAAAAAGAAATTGATCTTGTTACAAGAAGTAGAAACTACACTGTATATTTAAAATACTTCTGTTTTTTTAATAAGAAACAAAGTATTCTAAGTTAGTTAAGGCAGAATAACCATCACTACTGCAAATGTATCCAAGTACGTAACAATAGCAAAATATGCTATTACATGATACTCTTAAATACTTATCCTCAACAATACCTTTTTTAACAAGTGATGTGTAAATACAAAACAGAAGAAATTAGGATGGCACAAGAATCAAGCCATTTAGCTAGAAGCATTTCCTACTTGTTTAGAAACTTCCTTTGATATTTACTTTTTTTTGGTGAGACAAAAGCTTTGTGACAGTGAGCGCGAAAATGGGACAAAAGTTTCCAAACTGTGTTGAAAAAAAACCCCACTGGCACATCAGCAGAAGGACTGTCAGGTAAGTCCTGAAGATGTGGTCCTGACTAAATATTGGAAAGATTTTTCAGGCATCTTTGAGTCACAGAGAGGCTCACTACTGTATTATCCAATACTACAACCCCAAATAAGTTATCAGGTCATCAGGTTCCTTTGCTAGCATGACAGATGAAAATAGAGCACAGCTAATCCGCTGCTCACTTCTAGTTCTTCTACTAGACTATACTTATTGAATTCACAAGTAACTGAATACCACTCTGGTAAGCTTGCTTGCACATGTACTTACAAAAAAATCCAACAACAAAAAACCCTGCAAAAACCCTGCACCAGTTCTGTACAACAGTATGTCTCAGACCATTTATGAAGCAGGATACTTTGTTTTATGAAAGCATTTAATATTAGAAAAATGCCCATACAAGAACAAACCTGAATCTTATTTCAGAATTGTTTATAGCATTGAAGTCATATACTTGCTGCATTCGTTGGACATGGGACACTGGAAGAGGAGCCTGAAAAAGGAAATTGCATAGTCAGAATAGGCCAGGCGCACACTTCAAGCCACTTACTTAAAAAATAAACAA